GGGGGGGGGGGCACGCCCGCAGTCGAAAATCGGACTGCTAATATTATCGGTCTGGTTTTAGCTCTTTTTTTTCTCAGACAAAAAAGGTATTGATGTTTTAGCGTATGTACCAAGGAATCAAGAAATTGAATGACACGTGGGCTCACGATGTGCTGTTGCGTGGCAACTTGGGATCTCGCCTCCTGCTCCTCCTCCTTGTACTCCTCCTCCTCCACCCGGTGCTTTCGGGCGCTACACTCTCTCTTCAGTGTGGCTCTGTCTGTGCGGCACGTTTGAAAGAATATTTCCTCTTCTGCTAACTTTTTTTTTTTTTTTTTTTTTTTTTTGCTTTCCCCTTTTGGTTTCAGAGCTGTTGCGTCGGTTGTCCCCATTTTGAATTGAATGTAGTTTTTTTTTCTATTGGTTGGATGAACTTGCATCATTTTCAATTGCGGATATTATGGTTTCTGTTCGACATTGGGGATGCGACGGATTCAATCCGAATCATCTGATCGACATTCTTTTTTTGCTTTTTTTTTTTTTTTTTTTTTTTTGTTTACGACAAGACAATGCCCCTTCTATTCTGCGGGGGTCAGTCCGGTTGCTTATTACCGGCAACGGTGGCAAGCATGTTTCCGCAGAGAGAGGAGAGAGTACAAGGAGCAACGTTTCACACTACGTGGAGTCAACCATGTGTAAAGCTTTGAGATCCATTCTGCCCCCAGCGCATGGAGACAACTTCAAAGACAGGCTCTACTCTTGAGAATAGCCTGCGCATATCCGAAACATACATACACTTGTGTCTTTGAATACTTTCGCAGCCGCAGCAGCAACTTTGTGGTGATTGCAATCTGTAAAGTTGTAACCTATTGCATGTGCTCGACTATGCCGAAAGGAGAATAGTTCCTGCGGGAGCTCTTTAGAGAAAGGGGTTGATTTACAGCCGCCTCAACTTCTCATTGCAACTGCATGACCATTGTCAAACCACCTGTACATCTGAGCCTCTTTTTTTTTGCCAAGACAGATTCCCCCTGCGCACCAAGTTTTGCTGAAAAGCCAGTGTGGCACTTTTTCTTTTCTTTTGGCTGGTGCCGCCTGCTATTTTTGGTCCGGTAGCCCCAAGCCTCCGAACTTTCCGGATTCGGTCGATTTCAATTCTCAGTTTGTCTGGGCAATGTACTGGCGGTTTAAGGTAAGTACTACGTACTGTGTAGTTTTCTTCTTCTTTGTTTTGCGCGTTTGTTTCTTTTCAAGTCTTATTTTCATTTCTGAATGTATGGATAGGAATTTATGTCCATCGTAAGTGAGGGGTTGTCACAGCATATCTGGAACGAGGATCAGAGGAGTGGAAAACAGAAAGAAAAAAAAAAAAACAGTTTCTTTTCAATTATTATTTTCATTTTTGAATGTATGCCTAGGAA